TCCTAATATATAAACACACAGGTCTACTGATGAAAGATTATTAGGGAAAACTGTTGCTGAGATACCGCCGCTAACTATTTTAAATACATATTCATCACAAATATAAATGCCGGCTGGCTGAGATATTGCGCATGCTGCTAACACACTAACGTAGCCAGATTGGTGTACTGGATGCGTATACGCGCGGGGACCTTACATCCAATGTCTTCCTTACCTATTCTCAAATATGTCTACTGATGGAATGTTATCATCATGAAATGCTATGTAGGATAACTCCTCTTCATTTTAGTGGATTAATCTTTGCAAAATACGATTCTCTCGCGGAGATACGCGCATGCGCGCGCACAGTGTTAGGCGATGGCAGTGCAGTCGCGTAGGAAAACTTTATAATATAGCTGGCGTGAGGCAGAGAGGGGAATGGGAGAATGGGAAGGCGCCGGGAAGATAGCTGGAGGCGTAACAGAAGAAGGAGGCTGAGCGCAGGACAGGGAGGCAAGGGGAAGGACGCCGAGGGCATAAAGTAGGGTTTTGTACTACATGCTAGGGCGCGTCTTCCTAATATAAAAGCACAGCGTGATCTACTGATAAAATTTATTGGAACCTATTGCTGAGATACCCCCTAACTATTTTAAGATACCTATTCATCACGAAATATAACTGCTTGCTGAGATATTGCGCATGCGCTGAACACACTAACGTAGCCAGATTGTGTACTGGCTGGCAATACGCAGCGGGGACATTACATGCAATGTCTTTCCTCCTATTTCTTAAAATTAATGTCTACTGATAGAATGTTATCATATAATCGTATGCTAGGATAACTCCTCTTCATTTTAAATGATAATCTTTGCAAAATATCGATTTCTCTCGGAGATATCGCGCCGATTGCGCACGCACGTGTTAGGCGGCCAGTGCAGTCTGAGGAAAACTTTATAATTAGCTTGCTTGAGGCAGAGAATGGATGGGGGAATAAGGAAGCGGGCACGGGCAGAATAAGCTTGGGGGCCGGCCAGAAGAAGAAGGAGGCTGAGCGAGGACGGGAGGCAAGGGGTAAGGCGCGAGGGACATAAAGTAGATGTTTTGTTCCCTAGCATGCTAGGGTGCTCTCCTGAATTATAAGCACAGGTCTACTGATTAAATGTTTATTCGGGAAATCTATGCTGAGATACCCCTAACTATTTTAAATGCATATGTTCATCACAAAATATACATTAATCTGGTGAATGGTATTGCGCCGTGCGCTACACATGATCGTAGCTAATGGTACTGGCTGGTATTACGGGGCGCCATGGCAGGACAGGAGGCTCAAATTTTGTCAACGAAATCCATTTTTGTACTATTAACTTGATTTTGGGGAACACAAACTCATCTGTCAATCCTGTTCCACCTGGGTCGCCATCTTTGTTTCTTTAACCTTAGTGACCATTTCTCCTAGCCCGTTTCTGACAATTGTAGCCCTTCTTACATGCGTGTGCGCATATTTGGGCCACAAAATTCGAAACATATGCAAATGACGCTTGACAAAATTGAGTTTGTGGACATGTTGGACAGAATTTGAGTTTTGTGTTCACAAAATTGAGTTTTGGTGGACAGGCATTGCAGAATGAGTTTTGTGCTTCACAAAATTGAGTTTTGTGGGGACAGGATGACAGAAATGAGTCGTTTTGTGTTCACAAAATTGAGTTTTTGTGGACAGGATTGACGAGAATTGAGTTTTGTGTTCACAAATTGACTTTTGTGAGACAGAATTGAGGTTTTTGTGCACAAAAGCTGAGTTTTGTGAACAGAAATTGAGTTTTGTGCACAAAATGAGTTTTCGTGAACTAGATTGATGTTGTGTTAGACAATGATTTTGTCCACAAACTCATTTTCGTCACGTTTATAGCCTACAAAAATTCTGTGCTGCATGACGCCCGTAGGTATACGCAGCGGGGAACTTACATGCAAAGTCTTCCTCCTATTTCTTAAATGATGTCTACTGATGCGAATATTATTATCATATAAATCTATGCTAGGATAACTCCTCTTGATTTTAAATGCATAATCTTTGCAAAATACGATTTCTCTCGAGAGATATTGCGCATGCGCGCGCAACGTGTTAGGCGTGCAGTGCCGTCTGAGGAAAACTTCATAATATAGCTTGCTGAGGGGGAGAGGGGATGCAGCAGGAAAGATAGCTGGGTGCGGTAGAAGAAGAAGGCTGAGCGAGGGACAAGGGAGGCAAGGTGTTCATCAGTGTGGGACCCACACCAAGAGAAATATAAATATAAGCTAGAAATGATACAAAACAGATCTGCAATATTTGTTACAAACACCTATGGGCGATATAGCAGTACGTCAGCTCTTAAGGACCAACTCGGGTGGCAACAACTTATGTATCGTAGATGCTTTACCTCGAGTGTATAGTGATGTATAAGGTTGTAAACCACCTCATAGCAATACCGGCGAATAGATATCTGATCCCGGTGATGTCAGGTACCAGATCGAAAAACCCCCACAAATTTCGGCACCTGCACTGCAACAACAACGCATTCAAATTTTCTTTTTTCACCGGATGATTCCAATCTGGAACAATTAACCTACCCGTGGGTGTTGTGGAAGCAACGGACGTTGACATTTTTAAGTCAAGTCTTCACTCCCACATGCACGCGAACCCACTTTAAAAGGACACCAGTTGCATTGCACTTACATAATCATTATGCACCTGTTTGTTTATTGGGTTTATCCCTGAAGGCACTTACTACCTTGTCATTATATCCCGTGTAGTGGACACCGACAAGTACGAGAACATAACGTAACATAAGGGGAAGGACGCGAGGGCATAATGTAGATGTTTTGTACACTAAATGCTAGGGCGCTCTCCTAATTATAAACACAGGTCTAGGCCTACTGATAAAGGTTTATTCGGGAAATCTATGCTGAGATACCCCCTAACCATTTTAAATGCATATTCATCAGACACAAAGTATAACTCCTCTGGTGAGATATTGCGCATGCGGTATCACACCAACTTTGCCAGATTGTGTACATCGTTCATCATCTTACATTGTGTACGGTACATGTTGCCATTGGCCTTTGATCATGTAACAGCATCTACATTGGTCTGTGGGGGAGTAAATACCTTTAATACTCGTCACTACATATGTCAAAACTCAGTGACTTCGTCGGCGCGACCGTGAGTGACGGAGGTGCACCATAGATGTGTCCGTATAACATGCTAGTTTGATATACCCGGTGACCGGTCGTGTCGTCCGAGTTTAGTTTCCAATATGGCAGGTTACACATTATCCTGTTTCATTTGATATGGTCTGATGTAAGAATATCCCTTGCACGTAGGGAAGTATTATTTGGAAATTGACGTCGCCACATTATTCTAGTTTCTGAAAGGGTTCTGCTCAAACCATGTATAGCTTTAGCAGCCTGCAATCTCAGGTAAGCCACCTGCCTTCACTCGAGTCAAAGTCGGAATTGGTCGGTAGATTCTATGTCTATGAAATCTGATGTGTAGGTACCGTACCATGGCATATGATGTGTACCTAACGTTTTCTCTTCAACTTCAAGTTCAAGAGTCGGTCACACTATCTCAACTATAAAGTTGTTCAATTGCCTATACCCTCTGAAATAGTTTGTTTTTAATATTTGCGGTTTTACTCTTTATGTTGCCCAAGAAGAATGATCTACTTTATCTAAAGCTAAAGCTGATACTGATACTGATAGGGTCTATGTCCCCCGGGGTACTGCCGGAACGTACCCTGGGTACGGTCCGGTATACCGGAACGTACCCTGGTACTATATTATATGCCGGACCGTACCTCGCCTACTCCACTAACGAGTCTAGGGAGTCGCCTACGCCTACTCCCTAACCCTAACCCTAACCCGAACCCTAACCCTAATAGTAATAGTAATCCTAATCCTAACCCTAACCATATCAAATAGTGACCAGGGTACGTTCCGGTATACCGGACCGTACCCAGGGTACGTTCCGGCAGTACCCTGGGGTACATAGACCCTATGAGCAGAACTAAAAGGACATCTGTAAGATCACAAATGAATCGAACAACAAATATGAAGAAAAATAGGAGGATTCATTCGTGTTTGAAATTTTTCCAGGCCGTGTATCAGCTATCCAACGTTGCCACTGTGCTGAGTAACTCGGCGCGCAATGCCGGCAGCACACCACACATGCTGAAGCGATGTCACAGGAAAAACGATGCAACTTGCACTGCCGCCGTCACGTCTGACCCACAGCTCAGCCGAAGCTTCGAAGTGGTAATCGGAATAAAAATCGCTCGTTCGCCAAAAATTCCATCTACAACATTAAAGAAACCGACGTGTTGCTATTGCCTTAATTGTGCGATGTTGGGCTGTACTCTAGACTTTACTCATTGCTTTCTTTTGACATAGATGTTAATGTTCAATCCTAGTTTGGAATGCCGATATATCTAGATCCGGGGTGCGAAATTAACGGGAGTCCGGAGTCAAATACTCCCTGATTTACTGTCGGACTCCCTGATTTGACATATATGCAGGAGTCCGTGTGACTCCCTGAAAATTCTGCCATTCTAACTAGTTCATTCCAGAGGACGCCACGGCCTTGCGGAATTACCGTATTTTTTCAGTAAAAGTCCAAAGAAAATTTGGCAGACGTGCAACTGCATGAATCTTAAAAATAAGCACATGTTATTGTTAATATCTTTAATTTTAAACTTCAGACTGCGGACTCCCTCATTGTGCTGCGGACTCCCATCTTTTTGAGGGCAGGGAGTCCGTTGGACTCCCGTGTTCAAAAGTTAATTACTACCCCTGTAGATCGCATATGTGCTAAAGTAATCCGGAATGTTAAACTAGGATTGGGCCTATTGGTATAGGTATAACTAGCAAATTATTAATACTGCCACTGTACGTACACCGGTCTTACCTCTGCAGGGTTTTTTCATCGGGCGTTGGAGCTATTCTAGAATAGCATCAGATCATAAAAATTTATAGGGTACGGTACAATTTATCGGTCTGGGGTAATAGCTAGCAAATTGTTAATGCTGCCACTATACATACACAATATATATATATACAGGGCCCTCGCTACCCACTCGCCAATTCGCCAATGGCGAACAAATTAGTAATCTGGCGATTGAAAGTCTTATTTGGCGAAAAAAGTGACGAACGTTAGGAGCTCATCGACGCTGAGATGAAAAGATTGCTAGGGGTGAGTCGCGCGCGCAGGGGGAGGCCGAGGAGGGAGAGGGGGAGGAAGGCGGAGGGAGTGAGGAGGGAGGGGGAGGAAGGAGGAGGGAGGGGGTAGAGCGAGACTGGTTCCACTGCTGCACACGCCCCGAACGCTGACCGTACTCTGCTAAAACTTACCGAAACTGTGACCGATTCCGTCGCCGCCGCCACGTGTCCTGCCTCCCTTCCATCTTCACAGAGGGTGCCACCGTTGTTTACAGAGGGCGCCACCATTGTTTACAGAGAGCGCCACCGTTGTTTACAGAGGGCGCCTCCGTTGTTGTTTCAGGAGTCGTACGAGCGCGCGCGGCACATCCTCAGCCGCCACGCGCGGGAGCACCGCAACCTAGCCGACGCGCTTCTCCGCTACGAGACGCTCGACTTCGACGAGATCAAGCTCGCCATCGAGGGAGGCGACCTTACCGAGCGCAAGCGCAAGGTCGCCGCCGCCAAGTCCTGAGGGCGAGGTCGCCGCCGCCAAGTCCTGAGGGCAAGGTCGCCGCCGCCAAGTCCTGAGGGCGCGATCGGGGTTAGGACTATCGGCGCCACCTGCCAGGCCGGCCAGCAATAGAGAGGTTATCTGCTAGGTATTGGAAGTTAAGAGGGTGGGGGTGGGGGGGTTGCTGGTACGGGGAACTTTGCCTCGCGATGGTGGGATACCTTAGGAGAGTTTGCGAACTGGTACCGTGAACTTTACAAAGTGTTTAACTAATGTGAGGTGTTGCCTGATGAGGGTTTACAAGATAGTACGGTAAACCTTACCTTGCGTTGATGTATAGCGGTGGGTTAGTTTGCGAGAGTATACTTGTGGCGTAAACTTTATCCAAAGCGAGGTCGCTTCCGCCGCCGTTGCCGCCAAGTCCTGACGGCAGGCAAAGAAGTGCCCCCCCCCCTAAGTTGACCTTTGAGAGGATATTATATCTATCTTACAGTAAAGTTCACCCAGCGTTTGATTCACTGCAGGTTACCTTTACTAGTATGGTATCTAGAGTTTACGTCGCGATCGTCCGAAGTTTATCGAGTATGGTTAAGGACTTACCCTGGCCAAGGAGCTAAATATAACAAGGAGAGGAAGCGCCGCCATATCTGGCCCAAATTGGGGTTCGGCAGAGACCCTAGAACAGATCAGTGTTCTATTGTCTCTGTGTTCGGTCTGCACAGCCGTTTCAGCTGATTATGGTCCATAGATGGCGCCCTTGAGGCGAAAAGCACACAGCCAATCCGCTTCCTCTCCTTGTTATATTTAGCTCCTTGACCCTGGCGTCGTTTAACTCATGGGGGGTTGCTTGCTGGGACGGTTCGCTCGTGCGGTGTTGTTCACCTATCGTTTAAATTGACTACGTCACGAATTTTCTATGGTAAAATGTGTAAAATTTTTGTTGCCATTTTTTTACATTAAAAGTAAGAACTAACGGGACTAAACGTATCGTCAAATTCTTACCTGATAAGATTGTTTCTCAACTAGTTAAAAATCCAAAAAACCTGGACGATTTGATATTATGTTCCTTGATCTGTCTATTTGATTAACTTTGTCTCTTTTTGTCTTCGATATAGTCCCCTCGTCTTTGAAGACTAATATTTATGAGGTGATGAGCTTACACCGGACTCTGACCTCCGGGGGGGGGGGGTGTTTTTGCTTCGTCAGGCATTGGAGCAGTGCACGGAGCTTGGTCTATTTATGAGGTTATGAGCATACATCCATCTTACCTCCAGGTTTTTTCTTCGTCAGGCGTTGGAGCAGTGCACGGAGCTTGGTCTAGCCGAGCTGCGGCGGATACGTGAGCGCCTGCTAGCCGCGCTCGCACCGCCCGCGCTGCGGCCGCAGTGGCAGCAGGTGTCACACGTGTCCGGGGCGTCGTTCTTCGAGAACAAGCACGGGTTTGCGGCGGCTTCGGCGGCGGCGGCGGGCGCGGCGTACGCACACGTGGACTGCGACGTTCTGCTGCGACCGCTCTTCAACAACGCTGACAGACGTGAGTTGCTCCTTGACACGCCATCGTTGACGGTCGTTGCCGAGCGGGTTGGCATGATTAACTGGCAACTCTAGCGCGTGGGCGATCGTTCGGTGTTTGCATGGGGATCTTCTGAGAACGATGCTTGGTAATGAACTGCCGCTAGGTCGGCGTTTTTGTACGTAGCACGTGCGAATTCGGTTAGCCTCCTATATTTGCCTCTTACTTTTGCCTCTTACTTTAGCGTCCTACTTTTCCCTGCTATTTTTGCCTCCGACTCTTGTCTCCTACTTTACCTGCTAATTTTTCCTGCTAACTTTGTCTACTAATTTTACCTCCTACTTCTCGGTGCTACTTTTTCCTGCTAGTTTTGCATCCTACTCTTGCCTGCTACTTTTACCGTATAATTTTTCCCACCTACTTTCACCCTTGCAGAGCAGAGACGGGGCATCGTGACGGACCAGCGGCGATACTTCAAGACAAATCGGTCGGAGCGCGTGACGCGACTCTCGGGGGAAGCTGACGACGAGACGACGACGACGACGAAGATACAGATGCTCGGCCAGCTGACGGGTCTAACGAGCGCCGCGAAAGACGCGAAGGTGCGTACGTACCCAAGGCGCAAAATTAGCGCTGGCCCACCGGCATATGCCGGCAAAAGTATTTGGAGTACGGGTAATACGGGTTGTTTAGGTTGTTTAGTTAATTATTGGTTACTGACAAAACACCGGCCCTCCGAGACAGTGATTTCAGCCGTGTTAGCGAGTATCTACATTTTTAGCTTGCCTTGACATCGTCAAGATGAGCTATTGCCATGGGGTGTCGTCCGTCGTACGTCTGTCCGTCCGTCCGTCAACATTGGCTACGGTCAACGATAAATCAAGAACTGTTTGACCCACATGTTTCAAATTGCATATAGTTGTTACTCCTATGGGAGAGGTTTCAACGTCCTATTTTGGAGCACGCCAGTCGACCTTAGTCCTACATTCGAGCCACGTCCACCTTTTGGCAAAAATTGAAATGGCCATAAATCAGTTCAGGTTCAACGGGTTTTGCTCATTTCTGGTATGTGAATGAATGAGGACACTGGCCCCAAAACATATCACAAAGGTTTTTATTTTTTTATTATTATGCAGATTAGGTAGATTTTGGAAATTTAACTATGCGTTTCAGTGTCTGCCTAGGGTCAACGATAACTAGGGTCTCAAGAACCGTTTGACCCACATGTTTCAAATTGAATACAGTTGTTACTCATATGGGAGAGATTTTAACTTCCTATTTTGGAGCACGCCAGTCGACCTACTTTTGAGCCACGCCCACTTTTTGGCAAAAATGAAAATGGCCATATAAATTCATTCGATTTTGTTAAATTTTGATATGTGAATGTGTAAGGTAGTTTTTCAACCTACATTTTTCAAACAAGCAAGAGTCAGTGAAACAGTCTTATCTTTATTTTAGAAAATTTGTGAGGGCTGGTAAAAAACTAACTACACCGGCCTCTCCTGGGCCAGTGCAAAAAAATCTTCGTGCCCTGCATAGTGTAATTTTGGTGTGTTGTATGTTGAAGTAATATAATAGCGTTTCGGGTTCAGTACACCACGCACATTCGAACGTCAAATTTCGTGACCTACGGAACAGATCAACACAGCCCGTCAGTTCTGATCGCCCCACCCCCCTCTCCTACCCTCCCCCTTCCCCCCTTCTCCCCACCCCCATCTGTGACTGCTGTGTTTCTAATCGACGCTGCTCTCGTTCGTGCCTAGCCCGACCGCGTACGCTGCTCAAGAGCGTGGACAAGAAATGCGAACTGAAGCCGATTCTGGAAGCTGCCAGAGAAGCCTGTCTCCGCCAGCAGAAGGGAAAGATCAAAGCGTCAGTAGATGTCTGTCTCGTCCGTCTGTCACCGCCTTTCATTCTGTCTGTCGCGTCTGTGCTGTGTCGTCCGTCGTCCGTCCGTCATGTCTGTCTGTCTGTGTCCTGTTGTTTCGCTTTATATTTATATCATCTACACATCCTCACCCACCCAACCCAATTACATAACCCAACTACCCAATTCACTCTAACTACCTAACAACGTATCCATCCATCCATCCATCTATATCGAAGAGCTTATTGGCCAAACTCCCTAGGGTCCATTTTTGAAGAAAATCGAGAGAAACGACAAAAACTACTTATTTTGACAAATCATTTACTTGTGTTCAGCATTGGGTTTAAAATGTTGGCTGATAGATATATAGGCTATTTTTGGCCAAATAAAGAGTTTTGGATGTAAGCTAACATGATTTATGATGCGGTCTTCTTACTTGCATGACTGTAGGCCTCTTTATTCAAGAAAAAAAGTTCTAACCAGCGTACCTATGTGCACATACTATACAGTCTGGTCGTTCAAACTCATAAAAAAAAACACGTAAAAAACACATAAAAACACACACATAAAAACATATAATATTAAACATATATACACAGACACATACACAATATCAGCATAACATAACAATACTATTCACACATATACTCACCACATAAAACACATAAACATAAAAACACATAAAACCACATACAACACACAAAACCACACACCATAACACACACGCATATTCTATAACACATAAAAGTGCAGGCCAGTTTTGCAATCAGCTCTTCATATATCAAACGCTGTCGCCTGTCGCAATAAAGAGCATTTAACTGTCTTTATTCCACGCCAGGGGGCGGTGGCGGTGTGCCGAAGGGTATATTGCCGTCGGCATACGACAAGTCGCAGGGCCGGCCAGCATCGAGGTTCGACGCCTGAACATCGATCGCCTGACATCATGCGGGATCAATCCTCAATCCGTCGCTCTGCTGGGGAAACGTTTGTCGCGTGAGCCAGCGCGGCTGCCCCTGGCGCGGGACGCCACTGCGACAACGACGACCCGGGGCGCGCGGCATCCCGGTGCGCTGATGGCCCTCCGCTTTTTACGGAAGTTTGTTGCGTTTACAGAACAGAACGTGTCTGTAACCACAAATAAATGCTTTCCGATTGTACACGTGCTGCTGTGATGTATATATATATATATACTATATAATATATATATATATATTTATATATAATATACTAATTATATTAGAAGGAGGCTATATATCCAATGACAACGCTGCACCACTGCTTCTTTGGCGCAAGAGAGTCCTTATAAATGTCTGCTTGCCTGCCTAGCTAGAATATTGATTAATAGCTAGAACGTTATCAACATCTATTATACACATCACTTATAATATATCGTATGTATATAGATAGATCCATATGTATATGGTATTATATATACATACATACAATAATACTTATATTATATATTTATAGCATATAGTATAGTATATTGTATGTAATATACATGTTTTTAACACATAACATAAGTTGATTTAGCGAACCTTAGCATATTTAGATTCTAAATCCAGATTTGCCGACAGTCGCGAGCAAAGTAGTACAATATTGCCTTCTGTGAATAATGCAGGCGGCCACCGTTCCGGCAAGAGGTCTCATAGTCGATAATCGGTAACTGATAGTTCTTCCCGATGGACATAGACGTGTTATTCTCCCCTTCGGCTGTTGCGCATGTTTTCATGACGCACCTGTGAAATTTCTTGCCTGCGGTTCGTAAGTAATGAAACTCATGTGCTATAGATGCTTTAATTAGGCTTTGAAGCAATGGGAATTATCCTTTGCAAAACACTGGCACCCTTTTAAAAAAATGGTTTGTCTCCCTTTACCTACCACTACTTGCCTTTCTCAGTTTGGGCTTACCGAATCAGGTAGGTAGTGTGAAAAAAATTCTTTTTTGATTTGACAAGATGTGTGTATGCTCAGTATTGTAATATTCGGTGTTTTGTGTATATGTCTTTTTGTTCGGAACCGAATTGATATTTTTTTTTCCGGCGGCGCAACGAAATAATTTTTGTTCTTTTGTTTAATCGCCTCAATAAAATTGCCGAGTTTTAGCTTCAGATTGCTCGCTCCAAGTTCGGTCGGGTAAAGGGGAGAAGCTAAGCCAATATTTTATCTTAGGCCCTGGTGTGTAGTGTTTCTAATCACTATGGCATTCTATATTGGTCTGTTGGTTGATGCTTGACCTAGGTTAATTGTCCGTGTTGTATTTTCTGCTGATAACCGTGTTGATCGATCGACCTTCTGTCATCGTTGTTGTCATTATCTCGATCGTTACCATTAGCTTTCGAAGTTCATTTATGACTTATTTCAAACCCACGACATCATCAATCATCATCCATCATCTACACCATCATCATCTATCATCGTCATTTCATCATCATCATTCATCTTACCATCATCTATATATCATCATATCTTGCTGCTATCTGACCGCCAGCTCGTTGTCACCGTCATCGCGGAATTGACGCGCTTTCCCTCTCGCATCTCACCTTCCCTCCTTTCTCGTTTCCTCCATCATCCTCTTTCCTCTCTCCTTCTCACCCCCCTCCTTCCTCTCTCACTCCTCCCTCCTCTCTCACCCCACCCCATCCTCTCACCCCTCCTCCTCCCTCACCTCCGTCCTCTCTACTCCCCTCATCCCCTTTTGTCTTTTTTTTTTTTTTTGCTTTTTTTCCATGGTTTCTCTCTCTCTCTCTCACTTCCTATCTGCCTCCTCGCTCTCACCCATCCTCCATTTTCCTGCTCTCAGCCCCTCCTCCTCCCTTCACCCCTCCTCTCATTCCTCTCCTCACCCCTTCCTTACGCCGTCACCCTATCTTCATCCCTTTCTTTCCCTTCATCCCCTTTCACCTCCCTCCTCTCACCCTCCTCCCTCCACCCCTCACCCTCCTCCCTTCACCCCTTTCCCTCCTTCACTGACCCATCTTCACCTCTTTCTTCTTTTCTCCCTCACCCTCTTTCCTCCCTCACTCCCTCTCTCCCTCACTTTCCCCTTTTCTTTTTTTTTGTTTTTTTCTTTCTGTTTGTGTCTTTTTTTTTTCCTTTTTCTTCATTATTTTTTTTTCCTCCCTGTCTCACTCCTCTCTTCCTCCCCCTCCTTGCTCGTTTCTTGGCCCCTCACCCTTGTCCTTCCCACCCCTGCCTCCTCCTCCCTCACTCCTCCCTCACCTCCTCCTCATCCTCATGCCCTCGCTCTCACCCTCCTCCCCTCCTTCCTCCTCCCTCCTCCCTCACCCTCCCCCTTCCTCCCTCTACTTTCCTTCTCCGTCACCCTCTCCTCCTCTCTCCTTTCACCCTCTCTCCTCCCTACTCCCTCGCCTCTCCCTCACCCCTCCTCCCTCCCCTCCCTTCATCCTTCTCCTCCTCTCCTCGCTCCCTCACTTCCTCCCTCACCCCTCCTCCTTCCTCGCTCCAGGTCGACGAGTTCCATACTGCAAAGGACTCGAGCGGAGATCGTCGATTCCTGCCGCTACCCGGGAGAAGTACTTCGCGTTTTCGGCGCTAAGCTTGTTTTCCGTAATGGTCGTGGTTGCTGGTGGCCGCCGCTTTGGTACGGGCAAGACGGCTGCGGCGTTTTGCTTTGGTTTGTGCTGGTTCGAGGGCCGAGTGCTCGGACGCTCCCGTCTTCCACTCGGCCGGCGCTGAGTTCGATGAGATCCTCGTCTGGAAGGAGCGTGAGGA